TCTCGACACTAACAAACTTTTCTAGTATTGGTGGTTATTCTCTTCTAGCTGTTCAGATCTATCAGGATTATCGAACATTATTTGATTTTGATAGTGCAACAATAAATAGTCGATTATTCTTTGAACATAATACTATAGCCAAACATGCAGCACTACTACAAAATATTAAGATCAATCGTATACAAGCAAAACAATGGCATACACTATATATTAATCAAGGTAAGAGATAGACAAGCACTTCTGCATTAGCATGCAATATTTTTCTTCTAATTTATAGGTATTGCATCATATGTTCAGCAACGCATATTTCTTCATGAGAAAATGCGCTTTTCCGGAGAAATTGCCATTTACAATGAGCTGATTGTTCTACAAATTACAAGAGGTTCATTATCAGTGAATCGTTTATTGCAAGCACTTCGCTGGGTCCTAAGCAAACACAAGATATTAAGAACTTCTTTAGTCTTCAATGATGAGGATAGTATTTTAAAACAATCTATCACTGATAAACATCTAACATTTACATTAGCTGCCGATCAAACATTCCGAAGTGAAACTGAACTTCATAACATTATCTCACAAATAAAGACTAACCCTAATTTGTTCGATTTGTCAAGTGGTCGTGTTTTTTATTGTCAAATTCTTAGACAACAGATGACACCTAATGAAAATAATAATAAAGAAGTTATTACAAATTCTGATGTTCTCGTTATCGGCTTTCATCTTGTTGCATTTGATCAATCAAGTGTCTCAATTCTTTTAAATGATCTATGTAATATTTACAATAGTAGCGTGACGTGGTTAGATGATGATGAAGAATCATTACGATATATTGATTATAGTGTTCATGAGCGTCTAATTGACATGACATCATCACATAAGTTCTGGCGTTCTCAACTGAATGGATACAATCCAGAATTTCGATTGTCATTGCCAGTAGATCGACATTGCATACATAGTGATCAACGATCTGGATATGCTTCCATTGCTCGTACCTCATTTGATAATGAGATCTCGACATCATTCCTCAATTATGCATCTTCACATCAAGTTACACCATTTCAGTTATGTCTGGCTACATTCTATGCATTTCTATTCAAATTAACATATCGACAAAATGATTTATGTATTTCCTGTCTCAATGCTAACCGATACAGAACTGAATTACAGAATATGATTGGAATGTTTGTTTCAACATTACCATATCGTATTCAAGTTCATTCTGACTGGTCGTTTGGTGAACTTCTTGAACATGTGCGGGAAAGATGTTTATCAGCTCTTGAACATTCTCATTATCCACTACAACAGATTCTTACTGACTGTCAACTTAAACAATCAAATACTCCCTTTCTTGAAACACTATTCAATTTTATCACACTCTCCGAAAAAAGTCAGTGGTCTTTTGACACAGCAGTGTTGCAGCAATCACCAATACCGCAATCTTATGGTGCTGTTAAATTTGATTTTGTGCTGACTTGCCTATACAATCCAACATCCGATGGAAGTAAACTATCATTTTGTCTAAACTGCTCGCGTGATCTACTTGATGAAACAACAGCTATAGTCATAGTTCAAAGGTTCAAACATCTCGTCGATCAACTTTTTTCACCAAAATTAATTTCCGATGAAATTAATCCAAGTCTTACATCTATATCGAAACTTAGTTTGATTCTACCGGAAGAAGCTCAAGAAATTGAAAATACTGCCTTTTATCGACAACAGAATATTGTCAATGAAGGTAAGTTTATATGAATCTTTTCTCCTTTATTTTGTATTGGAAAAGAAACAGATGATCTATAAAAATGACAAGAAAATCTTGTTTTATGAACATGCATCATGCCATCACATCTGATATAATCAAGATTGATGTTAGTTGTGAAGTTTTTGAGTATGATACTTAACCTTTCATCAGCCCACACAATTAATATAACGTCTTACCTTATGATATATATAACCTACCATCATGGATTATTATGTCTTGGTTGTCTATTAAGTTTCTCTTCTTCCTCCTTTTCTATAAACCACGAAGTAGAAGAATTTCTAATATAAAAGCAAAAACTTGAACCGATCTCTCTTTTCTCCACAAGTATGATCGATACTATAACGAGCATAGTCTAAAATATGAAATTTAGTGAATATATCTGCAAATCGATTGAGGAAAATCATTAGTTTATAAGCGAATTGAAAAGATCCGTGAAATATACGTGTTTTAATTTAAGCATGCCTAATGAATCGAAGATATCAAGATAAATTCCAACTCACTTATTAAGGATGTTTTTCTGTTAGTAATCACAATTATTTAGTGCTTTACATCTTAGATTCAAAGACCGCGTTAATAGCTTTCTTCCTCATCTTTCATAAATTCTTATAAAAATTAATATGCTAAATATGAATACTTCTAATCCAATTTATAATTTAAAAACGATGTTAAATTTTAATGATATTGTTACTATAAATAATTCCCAATAGCCGGACTTGACTGTGTTTATGATCTTTAAAGTTTAGCTGGTCTTCAATGTTTTTCTACAACTTTCTATACGTTTTATGCATCATTCCAGTTAGCTCAGTAAAATTCTTTCATCATCAGCCATCAAGATCACCGAAATATGTAGTCGTAACTTCAGTTATGTCTGATAAATATCTCATTATTGATTGTAGCGCCAGCATCATATGCACAAGCTCGCATTTTGTTTGAAGAACGAGTTCGATTTGATCCACATAAACCAAAACTTGCAATCTACAATATGCCTTTTTTCTACCGTCTTAATAAACGACATACTTTATCAATACAACAACTTCGACAGGCTCTTCAGCTGACTGTTAGAAAACATCAATCATTTCGTACATTACTTAACTTTCATGCAGAAAAGGACTCATTTATGCAACGAATTGTTGACATCCATTTTGATAATAATAGATCGCATGCATTCATCGAAAACATTTACGAAACGCAGCAGCAACTCAATGATATTATGCATGAAGAAAAATATAATCCTCAACTTTTTGATCTTGAAAAGGGTACCATTTTTCGATGTCATCTTGTTTATTACAAACAAATCTCTTCAAATGATCTACTTTCTGACCAAGATGTAGTCATTTTCAATGTTCATCATGCTTTATTTGACTTTCGATCAATGAATATCTTTCTTCATGATCTCAATCAAGCATATACAACAGGCCAACTATTATATGATGATAATACCAATCTACGTTATCTCGATTGTAAATATAAATAGTTCTTCTACTTCACTCTTTTCTAATACATTGTTTTCTTTAATTACACAATAGATGCTGTTATTGAACAACAAATGTCGATGAGCGGTGCAAGTATGTTCTGGCTTGATGCTCTTCATGATTGTGAACTTGATCAACCATTATCCTTACCATATGATCGATATCGTCTTGCAAATGAACATCGAACTGGTCGTGGGACATCTATTTCTTTTGATTTTGGTCAAGATCTCTCACATGACTTTCTTATTTATGCATCATCAAACAACATATCACCGGAACATCTTACATTTGCTATTTATTTCATCTTTCTATTCAAATTAACAAATGGACAAACAGATCTATGTATTGCTCTGAACATCAATAATAATCGATATAGAGATGAACTCAAATCAATCATTGGACTGTTTGAGAATGTCATTCCATTACGATGTCAACTAGATCCTCACTGGTGTTTTCATCAATTACTCGAACATGTTCGGGAGGTAACAACAAATAGTATGAAATATTCATATTTTCCACTTCAACGTATTCTCAATCAACATCCACATATTTCCAAGCCTGCATTTCTTGATACATCTCTTGAATTTATATCATACAAGAGTAACAATGAAATGATGATTAGTGATTCTCAACTTGTTCCAGGATCTTTCTCATTCAATATTAATGAAGATGAGATATTAAGTACATCTGACTTCTCTCTTTCGCTTCATCATGGTATGAACATGAATCAACTATCATGCACAATCAAGGCATCACTTGACTTGTTCAATAGAGAGACATTGGAGAAGATTTCACAACGATTTCATTTTATTTTACATCAATTATCTGCATCTATTATTGATAGTCAAATAAACAAACCTATCTATGAATTATCATTAAGATTATCAAATGAACAATATCCTGGGATGTTTCGACCATTTCAAGATTGAGGGATCATACTTAAAAAAAACATTCTTGAAATAGTATAAGTTTCTTTTCCTAAAAAATATTGCAAGCTTATTTTACAAATATCTGTTGGAATATTTTTATTTAAAGGAATAACCATAAAAGACAAGTTCAACGTATCACAAAATTAAAAAAAGATTTAAAAATATGCTACAAATTTGACACAATTTTTACTCATCCGTTCTTTAACCGGCACCATTCTTCAGCACATTTCGATAAATCGATATTTTCCAGTAAATCTCTTTCAGTTGAAAAAATTATTAACTATTCCATTTTATCAGGCATCAATGTAAATCTTAATTTATTTTTGATCAATTTTAATTTTGAAAAACATCTCAGGTCAAAAAATCAGACATAAGATCGTGTAAGGTATTGCAAGATCTGACGCGTACAAGATTTTTCAACTGATCTTGATACAAACTCGGACAATATCATATGTGTTGATTTTTTTGAAGTTCTATCAGATTCGGAACGTTAGATGCAAGCTAAAATCTTACAAAAATCAAACAATCAGATTCGTATTGGATCGGACTAAGTGTTGCTTACAAGATTTTATCAGATCCGATATGAATCAGACTAAAAGAGACATACAATACAACAAAATGTCAGATCTTGTCTGTTCTTGTACGATCATATATTTTTTCTATTTTATTCCAGGATTGCTAATATAATGGTTTCATTGCAATATATATAGTATACAATAGATGAAATAGCACTGCCAAAGCTAATGCTTCACAGTAATGAGGTTATAAAACGAAATTAAATTGGATAAGTAAATATCGTTAGGGTGTGGGTGTGTGTGTGGGTGTAGGTGTTAGAGACCATGAAGCATCCACACTAACACCCACACCCAACCCTCACCCAAACTCACACCCGCCCACACGCACACTCGCCAACACTCTCACCCACAACCACCTCTCACCCACACCCACATCCACACCCATAATAGTAAACTTAGTAACGAATCAAAGAAATTATTTTAAAAATAGCTATAAATCAACAGATCGCAGCTTTAGCAGGGAAAAAATATGTTGAAAAGAGTAAAGTTGTCCTGGGGTCCACGCGAACCCATAGCGTCGTTTTTTATCTATTAGACTCATCTGTGATTTGAAATAAGGATGATATAGACCGACATACGACTAGTGATGATATAAAAGGATAGGTCAAACACAGAAGCCCTCGATTTACTTTTGAATAAAAATCTGTGAAATGGGTCCGCGTGGACCCCACGACAACTACGAAGGGTTAACAAAAAACGTATTATTTTCAAAAGAAATAAGATAGCAAGTGCAAGATTACTTTATTTTCACAAGCAAAGAATTTGGATGTGACTGTGAGTATAAGTGAGATCTCCATTCTACCACACTTACATTCACACCCTACTTAAGAAGGTCGTCTAGATGTTTCTCCATGTCATAAGCGTTGATTTCATCAATGGTTAATTTTGTTACTGCATTCTGTTGGTTGCCATGATTTCTTTGTGAACTCCAGCCAATTCTTTCATTAAGGTTCTCTCGTGCACGCGCACTGGCCTCTTGAACTCGTGTTGCTCTCGTTTTTCTTAGCATTTCATACATCTTTAAAGCATGCTCGATCGTGTGTATTTTATTGCCCCAATATTTAGACGAAAATATAATACCCAGTGCAGCCGCATCTTCAATTGCCATACATGCCCCCTGACTTTGATCAGGTAGCATTGGATGTGCAGCATCCCCAAGCAATGCTACACAGCCCTTCGCCCAGTATGGATATGGTTCATGAATAACCAACTTCCACAACTTGATATCTTCACAATGCTTGAAAATTTTCAATAAATCTGGATCAAGATCAGGAAAACGCTCAAGTAGCATAGATGATGTGGCATTAAAATTCCAACCCTCTTCACTTTGCTGATTATGAGAAGCTGGATAAAAACAATAGAATGACACAATCTCACCTGCACAACAAGGGGCCAAAACAATCTTGTTGATATCGAATCCACCCCAAAATTCAATTGCATTGTTCGGTGCAAAATTCTTCAAGCCAAGCTGCTCTACACGTGATGTGGGAATAATACAACGGTAACAAGCACTTGTTGATGGTGTCGTTTTTGCTACAATACCAATCAAACTACGTACTGTTGAGCGAACGCCATCAGCACCAATAATCAAATCGACAGATATTGTACTACCTGTATCGAATGTTATAGTACGATTAAAACAATCAACATCAATTGCTTTATGATCTACAACAATCATTACTCCTAAAGCCTTGGCTTTTATCTGTAGTTGTTCATGAAGATCAATTCGATGAAACATATTGTATACATAACCCCACTTTTCTTTATAATCACTCAAATCATAAACGTCCTTGATTGTACCATCTTTCCAGTTGCGCATAATTAGTTTTTGTAGAATGACAGATCTAAGAGGAAAATTTAGATGCCAAGTTTTTTCTATTAAAAAATAATCGCATTAGTAAACTGGTTGTTAACTTTGGATATAGTTTAGATGTATAGTAGGATTAATTGAAAAGCATTTTCAAATTTCTCAATTAACTTAGCGGTTAATAAGCAATACTACCGACCTTCCAGCAACAGTGTCGACACCCCACTCTTCTAGAAATTTGGTTCCATTTGCGGCAACAGAAATTGATGCACCGACTTCACTAGCAAAATGAGCCCGTTCATAGACAGTGACTTCGTGGCCATGTCTGCGTAGAGCAATAGCAGCCGATAGACCACCAATACCACAGCCGATAATAGCCACTTTCAAGGTTATAAATGGAGTAAGTGGAGTTGATTCCATTGAAACTAAATTAATCTACAAAACAAACGGCTTAATTGAAATGATACCAAGAAAATCACATATCATCTCAAAACTTCGTTCAACAAATTGATAGATTATTTGACCTTGAACTACGCCTAAGTGATGTAGTTGATATACAACACGTTCCAATTGCATAATCAACTCGCTATAAGTTCATACTTGATCGTCAAGCACTATTGCTACCTTCTGAGGATATAATCGAGCAATATTAAATGAATTACGTATCGCATAGCATGGTGTTGCCATATTTTAACTATAGTATGCCGAGAATTAAGGGTGAAAGTTTAATATAAAAATAATTGATAAAAAGATTCATACAAACAGTCTCATTTTATAAAAGGCGGTGTGTGAGGGTGTGGGTGTGGGTGTGGGTGTGGGTGTGCGTGTGAGTGAGTGTGGGCATGGATACTGTATTCTCCCAGCACCCATATCCACTGACACCCACCCATCTGGTTTTTACTAGAAAAAGAGATTTAAACGATATGAGTGACCTGATATTGAAACTTCATATAAGCTTTTGTGTCAAGAAGTTCACGCAATACATGCACAGTTTCATCTAATTCTAATATAGTGTTGTACAAAGCTACTGGAGCCATTCGCAAAATATCTGGAGATCGATAATCGGGGACAATATTTCTTTCTCGTAAAGCCAAACTCAGTAGACGTGCATGTACATGCCGAACACTGACGTGGCCACCTCTACGTTCTTCATTTCTAGGCGTGATAATTTCAAGTTCAGGCAGGTGTTGAGCGATCAGTTCCATTAAATACGTCGTAAGTTCCAATGAACGTTTCCGAATATCTATAATATTCACTTTCTTGAACTCTTCTAAAGATCCTTCGAGACCAGCAAGAGCAAGTATACTTGGAGTACTGATTTGAAAGGCAGCTGCTCCAGGTTCATGTGTGAAATAAGGACGCATCTTAAAGACTGTGTGCTTTTGATGTCCCCACCACCCTTTTAAAGCAGGAATTCGATGAAAATGTTTTTCGTGCACAAAAATACCACCACAAGCACCAGGTCCAGCATTTAAATACTTATAACTGCACCATACAGCAAAATCTACATTCCAGTCATGGAAGGCATGCGTTAGGGCGCCTACAGAATGTGCTGCATCGACTCCAAGTATAATGCTTTTTTCTTGAGCAAGTTTGGCGTACCGTTTAATGTCGAGAAGCTGACCACTTCCATAGAGCACAGTAGGAAGCAGTATAAGAGCTACATCATCTTGAAAAGCTTCCTCAATATCTTCATCAGTTAACGTATATCCATCTCGTGATGAAATTAAACGCAGTTCTGTGCCATAATGTTGTGTCCAGGATTGCAAAGCATATAAGTCACTTGGAAAATCCAAAGTGGTTGCAACAATATATTTTTTAGTATCAGTAGGTTTATAGAAGGTAGCAAGTAGAGCATGTAAATTCGCCGTAATACCACCTGTAGCAATGACTTCCTCGGGCATAGCTCCCACCAGTTTTGCCAGATCTGCACTCAAGCTTTCTGATAGTCCAAACCAGGATGTCCAACCATTTACAGCTAAAGTCTGCCATTCTTTCAAACGATTTTCAATCGTTTTTATACTTGATCGACTAGCGAGTCCCAAAGAATTTCCATCCAAATAAATTCCTTCAGGATAAATGAAATCTTCCCTAAGCATTTTATGATATTCCAAAGAATTTTACTGTTGTAGTTCGATTGTTGTTTATGATTTCTTTAGAAGAGACTGACTGATTTCAACAAATTATCTAAAATAACAATCAAGAAGTGAAACATAATTCTGAAATATTTCAAAATAAATTCAAACGGATTTCAACTGATTCTTATGAATTATACTCGTTGATAATCAGAGAAATTTTGCCTTTCTATACCAGTAATTTCTTGCTTCAAGAAAGTAGTAAGGTTTATGTAACCACTACAAAAAAGAAAATGTGTAATGAACTAGCCCAATCGGAGCCAATAGAGGAAATCTCAGGACGGGGGGGGGGGGGGGGGGGGAGGAGGAGGAGCAGAGAAGCGGATCGTTTCGGATCTCAGAAAATCTAACATAATCCATGCTCAGAAAAAAATAAAGGAGCTTTTCAGAACCCCCACAAATGGTTCTGGAAAAACTCAAAAGCTTCCTTTTCGGCTTCAAGTTCCAAAAAATGAATAAAAAATTTGACAGAACCCTTTAAATGGTTTTTAATTGTACTCACGGGCCGAACCCCCCTTCTACAGAACCTTTTTTGGTTTCGCAAAGGAAAAAATGGTTTTGTAGAAAACTGCAGAACTATTTGGATTCTGTACTAAACTATTGAGGGTTTTATACTAAACCCAAATGGTTCTGCATTTTTCTACGAAACCATTTTTTCCTTTGCGAAACCAAAAAAGGTTCTGTAGAAGGGGGGTTCGGCCCGTGAGTACAATTAAAAACCATTTAAAGGGTTCTGTCAAATTTTTTATTCATTTTTTGGAACTTGAAGCCGAAAAGGAAGCTTTTGAGTTTTTCCAGAACCATTTGTGGGCGTTCTTAAAAGCTCCTTTATTTTTTTCTGAGTGGAAATGCATAGCGATTCGTTAGTTTATAGTTCGAAGATTAGTTGCTCCTTTATATAAAATCATAGGTCTATGATAATCTGATTAGTTAACCGTGATTTGTAGTCATTCTTGTTAGAAATTCAAAGATATTGTTAATATGTTTCATTTAAGTATAATAGTTAACGCCACAAAAATATGGAAACTAAACTTGTTAATCCTTCCGGGAGGGATAGTCATACAAAAAAATTAAAATGAGCCTCTTTGTATTTGCCAAGTCAAAGATAAAAAGCACATTCCGTCATGAGTTCAAAATGAACCTTTCAGCAAAAAAAATTTCGAGATAGAAAAACCCGGATCGGTGAGTAATATTTTAATATACTGAGACTGAGATTAAGTTGGGTGTGGGTGTGGGTGTGAGTGTTAGAAATACATGAAGTATTGACACCCACACCCTTAAAACCTTCTTTAGTTGGAGAAATCTTTATTGTTCTCAAAATTCAAGAGGGGTCTTATAATTATTAGATACCCTACACGCAAAACTTCAACACACACTAGAAAACTAATAAATGAGATATTGCATGATTAAATAGTTGCTCCACCACAGTTTCACTACATAAGAATGATAGTGAATTATTTTGACCCTCTTTCAGTCCAACGTCTTAGATGTGATGGATAATTCGTTCCGAATATTTAACCACGGTTTAATAGCGCATGCCAGTTGCCGAACCGACGGATTAGCAAATAGAAGAGTCGGCTCAATTTTGATTTCAATTTGTCGTCGAATGAGAGAACATGCCCATAAGACATTTATTGATGTCCCACCCATTTGTTCAAATGACATATTTATATTCGGTGATTCATTACCAAAAGCTTCACCAAAAATACATCGTAAATGTTCTTCTAGTGGTGTCAATGGCAATAAACCGAGAGCAATGCTAGTTTGAGCATGAAATGCTTGTGCTAAAAAGATGAAAAGAGGCTATCTCATCTGTTATAAGAAATCGACAAATATTGAGATCTATTTTAATTATATAACCAGGAACAGTTACAGACTGACAACTGACTTTTAAGATAAACTTGAAAGCCTTTAATAGATGCTAATCAATGATATAAAAGTTAAAGGGATATGTTATTTGTCACTTATTCAAAAACGTTTTACGTTCAAACTTTGAAATTTCACTTCAGAACCTGAGCACTGCCGGAGTTCCTTCGCATAAGCCCGCCCACCCCTTTCGAAAAGAGTCGACTTTCGTCCTTTAAATCGAAATGAAGATGAATGCATGGGAAGATATCCCCACGTTTGCTCTTTCAGAAATTATATAGTTTTCTATTTGACATGTCATTTGTTTTTGATGATTTCCGTCATATTTTACTTGAAGAATAGGTTTTCTCCATAGAAAATGGAAATCTTGTTTGTTTTTTCTTAATTTATGCTTTATCATCGCGCAAATCAAATTTCACTTTCCAGACTCGTCCTATATATTTAACTTTTTGTTTATTTGAGGGAGCATGTCAAGACGCAGGGCAGTACAGAGTCCTTTTTAAAATTAAGCTTTGTTATTATTGTATGTACAAACGCTTATAAAAATACACACCTATTTTTAGAGATATTTTTGAGTCATTGAACTTGTAGTCCTTTTGATCCGCTTAAAAAGTAAGAGTTTAAAAAAAAGGCTTTTTTAGTCTGTGCACTCCGAACTGCTCTTTCAAACAAAAAAATTAATATATAGAATAAGTCTAGGCAGAAAATTGGGGTCCTCAGATGAGCTATTTTGGACCCTCGTTTGATAAATATTTCGTTCAAACGTGATGATATACAGCTGAAAAATTATCATAGCGTATCCGCTACAGCGCCAACAAATCCTGAAAAGGAGGAGAACGGTCTGATCCCTAAAAAGACCCTAAATAATAAATCCATATAAAATCATTTTTGTAGTGAAATTCATGTTTTGTGCTTTAAAATTGCAGTCTCCTGTACTCACGTAGACGATTCCTATCAGCTCTTGTAACGTATTGAGACAGCTTCCATCTCGGTCCTTCAACAGAAGATCACTGCTATTGGCCCCATATCATTCTCACCATAACTCATTGTGAAAACGTCATTTTTCTAGCAGACGTAGAGTTCGTCAAGAGCTACAAAACTATGACAAGACATATGGGTACATAAACTGTACTCGATATTTTCTACGGATCACTCTATCAAAACTCGAGTGATTTGCAGAGTATGATTCGCAAGATTTTTATTATAAGTCGAAGAAACAACGCCATTTTTTCAACATAGATAGGACTCAACAGAATTGGGAAAATCAGATGATCTCCTTCATTTGGCTACTTTCTTTCATTGAAATCCGCGCACCATTGTAACGACAACAAATTGTATCACAAGTCCTGCTATGAATTTATAGCAATCAATAAGCTCTATCTATACTACAAATATTACCTTGGCTGTACGATTCAAAATAAATGGCTTGTGAGTCATACTCTGCAAATCACTCGAGTTTTGATAGAGTGATCCGTAGAAAATATCGAGTACAGTATATTTACCCATATGTCCTATCATAGTTTTGTAGCTCTTAACGAACTCTATGTATGCTAGAAAAATGACGTTTTCACAATGATTTAAAGTGAGGATGATATGGAGCCACTGCACGAGAGAGAGAACCAACCCTGCTCAATGAGAGATCCCAAAGTTTTGTTATCTCTTTCCGATAGTCCTGAATGAATAGTCTTTAAAGAAAAACCTGTTTAAATATGAATTCATGTCATTTTTCCCTATCAATTTTTAAAATAGCTTTCTTCAGATCAGCTCGAGCGGATCTCTCGAAACTCTTTGTGCAAAGACCTTTCATCAAAGACTACTTGGAAGTGAGAAAAAAATTTTTGGATATGTAATAGAAATGTGCTAGATATCAGTCTCGTATAATGGCTCATGTCGATTGTTCTAAGTGTTACTGGGGAAGCATACGAGCATTGATAGATATATACGAAATACTGAGTAGCGCGAATTCTTACACTTGTCAGTGCATAAAACTGCCGAGAAATGGATGATGAATGAGAATGTAGTCCTACAATTTATCATCTCACTTTTGAGAATCTGTTTGCTGAAAATTTCGTCTTCATAATGGGAGTTTCTCCTTGAGAGGACGTGGGACAAAGCTAAAAATTTGGTTTTATAGATAAAATACGGTGCTCTATAAGATTATGTGTATCCCACACGAAACTGAGAACTTAATTGAGCAGCCTTCTGTGGAAATCGGTTGCCTCGCTCGTGCAGTGGCTCGTAGGAGGCGGGAACAGATAAATTTTTAGTAAAAAAATAATTTTTCGAAAAGAATAAGTTCTCAGTAGAAAATAGGCTGGTAAGAAACCGGTAGACCGGTAAATACTGGTAGATCGACAGACTGGTATTTGCCGATAGAATTAGCGATCTAAAGTCCGGACCGGACTGATTCAGACCGACCCGTTCCCGGTACGGGTTCCATCTCTGATAGCAGTGATCTTCTGTTGAAGGACCGAGATGGAAGCGGTCTAAATACGTTACAAGAGCTGATTGGAATGATCTACAGTACGTCTTAAAAAAACTTGGCCATTAAATTTCCACTGCCTTACTTCCCAACATGATATTTTCAACAAAGTGATTACATTGTTAGAAAGCCTACAAAATTTAGTATACAAAACCGTATTTCAAAATTTTATTCTTCTACCATTTGAAGAAATAACAGCTAAACATATATCTTCCATGGAATTTACAAAATCAATTAGAAAATTTGAATCAGTATTTTCGATTTCCTGGCTCATAAACTGTTCGAGATCATCAATATTTGCGGGTTTTCTTTTTTCAACACGTCGTTTGATTACGTTCAAATAATTTTCGATAGGACTTAAATCCGGTGAATTCGACGGCCACTCAAGTAATTGAGGAACCTTGTTATTGATGAATTCTTTGGCAACACCACTCGTATGTTTGGGGTCATTATCTTATTGAAGGCGCCACCACCGTTTAAATTGCATTATGGCACTTGGTAAAAGATAGTGTTTAAGAATATCAACAAAATAAATACCATTGAAATTTGTCTTAAACGTATAATAACCAACAACGCCTTTGATACTGTTATTTCTTCTAATGATGAAGGAACAAAATTTTGAAATACGGTTTTGTATACTAAATTTTGTAGGCTTTCTAACAATGTAATCACTTTGTTGAAAATATCATGTTGGGAAGTAAGACAGTAGGAATTTAGTGGCCAAGTTTTTTTTGCAAACTACTGTACATATGAATATAAAGAAGAGAACAGAAAGTAATGATGCTAATCATATATGACGAGGGCAATACATAACAGTCATTGAAGATATAACTGACGAAAAAGTTATCCAAAGCAACAATAAGAAAATATTTTTACATTGATATTTATACCTCACGACGTCAGAGTGTGAGGAACTACTCATAAAAAGGGCGAGCCAATAAGTTTAAAACCAACAATAGAAATCGCTATATACGAAAACCAATTTTAAGCCAAATTTTTTTGAAACGTACTGTATATATAATGTGTAGTATCTAACTATCAAGACAATATTATTCCATCAGGTCAAAGTTTGTATTTAATTCTAAATATGTATCTATACGTTGAAAAACAATAACGGCATACATTACAGACTACAGTTTACTAGTTTGATTTATGAAATAAATCTAAACAATGAAAGCATCATTTTTTCTAAAACTAATACAACAGGAATCAGGTTTTAAGGCTATTGTTGCCTTATCGAAATGTTTTGGTCTGAATGGAAATACTGAAAAAAACGCGACAGTCATTGAGACGATATTGTAAGTGAACATCGATGATTCATCATTAATATTCTCTTATTAAAATGTTGAAAAGTTTTCTTTCTATTTTAGTCTAATTTTTCTTGTGATTCATTAGTGCACATAGTATATTTCTAATAGGATGTCGAACGCTGAATATTATTTGACTATTCTTAACTGAAAAGAATTAGAAACTTTTACTATAGAGAATATCACAGCGAAAACGTTAACAAGAAACAATCTACATATTGTTTTGGAATGACCCTTTGTATATCATCTGGTGTTAAACACTCGGCTACAAGTTAGTATCGATACGGTATAGCAAAACCTATGCATAGAGATGAACATACCTTCACTACCAATATTCAATAGTCTACAAAAGACTATTCCTTGTATTTCATCAGCTTCTTCCGGTAGAAGGACCGACAAATTTTTGATAGATATATGAAACTTATCAGTTAAATCCTTGCTCAGATTTGTTGTAAACAATTGTGAATAAAAAAGTCTGAATCGCCGAGTTATTGCATTAAACGTAGTTTCATCAAATGCATCAGGTAAACATAAAAAACCACATGACAATCTATTTTCATCCGGTGTTGGATTGTACCCAAATACAAGTTCCAAATCAAATTGTGCATCTAAGAATACTGATGATGATACCGGTTCCAAACTTGCACCATCTACAGTCCACAAAACTTCCTCTGGCACTACAGTGTGCAGGTGAAATAGTGTCTTGAGAAATGGAGCATTTGAGTGATTCAAATTACTGTCGGCAAGGATCTGCTGAAGTGGATAATGCGAATGTTCGAAAATTGACGAACATTTCTCTCGCACATGTTCGGCAAGCTCATCGAATGACCAACGAGGATCAAGTTGAATACGATAAGGTAATGTCGCAACAAACATTCCAATCATATTTTGTAATTCAGTTCTATGTCGATTGGCATAAAAAGAAGAAATACATAAATCACTTTGACAGTTAGTTAATTTAAACAAAAATACATAAAAAGTCGTCAGTGCTAGCTGATAGGGTGTAATGCTATGTGATGAAGCATAATTTAGAAATGATGTAGACGTATCATTGTTAAAATTAAGCTCGTCTATAAAGGGAGCTGCCGATCGTCGTTCAGTATGCAAACGATATCGATCGACTGGCAATGACAATAGATGTTTTATATCGTATTCTTTAAGTTGCGAATGCCAAAACTCGCGCGATTGTGTCATATCCATTTGACGTTCATGCACAGAATAATCAATATATCGCAATACATTGTCATCAGTAGATAACGAACTATCACTTTCATATGCAAGAGTTAGATCGTGAAAAAAGATTGATACTGACCAAGCATCGAATGATGCATGATGCAAATTCAATAATATTAAATCACCAACACATAATAAATCATCATTTTGAGACGATAACTGAGCATTACGATCATACCGGAGGATGTGACAATGTATAACGCGACCTTTCGCCAAGTCGATCAATTTAGGCTCATTCATTATTATTGGAATTTGTTTTTGGAATTCATCATTACCATAATGATTTATCACTGTAAAACCAAGGTATTCATGAGTATCATTGATATCGAGACAGTGTTGTACAAGAGCACCATTCGTATCAAGATAAAGTGCTGTTCGTAGGATGCTATGTTTTTTGACAACTTCCTGAAGTGCTCGATGCAGTCGAACAATTGATACTGTTTTACTGATGGATGAGAGACGATAAATGATGGGCACGAGATATGTGGTATTGCTTTCTTTGAACGAAAAACGAACTTGTTCATCAAGAAATATTCGTTCTTGAGCAAATGATGCTCGAGCTAAAATGCGTCAGCGAACTAAGATAAAATGATGAAAAAGGTTTCTTTTTTTTACCTTGAGTGAGATGTAATGAAGACCAACAATCTTCGAAATGTTGTTCAGTATTAATAGCCTGTTGAATAAATTTAGCATGATCAATGATTGTTGTAAATTGAAATAGATTAGAAATAGAAAGAGATTTCGTTTCTAAATGAAATGTTGTTTTGTATTGATGATAAAGCTGCATGAGTAGAAGAGAATAACCACCAATACTAGAAAAGTTTGTTAGTGTCGAGA